AGCTTTTCAGAACCCCCTAATCACATAAAAATTCTACAGATAGCAGCTTTAATCATTTAACTTACTGTAGAGACCCTTTGAGTGCAGAGAGGCAAGGAAGTATGGGGCTGGAGCCTTAGATCTAAGTGGCACTATTAAATGTAAATTGTGTGCCATATCAGATACGTGAACACCCATTATAAAAACCAAGAGGAGGCCTTTATAATTGTAGACATGACCAGTCACAGCAAAGAACCGTTTTTTATATTGCTATGGGAATGATCTATCCAGCCCCATAAGCAACAGGTATTAGTCATGTCCATGACTTCCAGAACTTTGCTGCCTTTGTTTTTGCCATAAATGGCTATGCTAAGCCACACGGTAATGGATGGCTTGCTGCTTTTACAGACCTGTATTAACACAACATTGTAATAAGAAAAAGTGCAAAGTTCACTTGTTAGATTTAATAATAATTGTCATTAATCAAGGATTATTATATATTATGATGGGCTATAAATTACTTTAATCATAAAGTCACATTTCCACCTCAGAGATGGACAAATTAGCTAATTAGAGCGGAGATCCAACTGACAATTGCAGTGAGGAGGTAATTTATCATGATGCAAAGCAGTGCAGTAATAATAATAACACTATTGCTGCTTTGTCATTTGCATTTCGGCTGGAGAGTAAAATGCCTTGTGATGCCAGGAACTCACTCATAGCACCATCCTCCATCTTTGAGCATTCGAAAATGCCAGAGTGTGGGCGAGGGGTTTGATCCAAAACAGAGTGCGGACTGGAGAGTGAGCTCAGAAAAAAACTAAAACCTCAACACTTGGCAAGTTATCTTAGAGCCATTAGTAATGCTCAACAAATCCTCACAAGTATATTTTGGTCACTTTGTGCTTTGGTACAGTGAAAATCGTACTAATTGTATCCTTAACTGTTGCACCGGCTTCTAGTTTGTTTTCTAGGTTGTTTTTTATTATACCTTAGAAATATTTTATGTGAAGCTCAGTGATGTCTGAAGTACCTTCTCCCAGGGATTGAGGGGTTAACATGGGGGCTGGAAAAGAGAGAGGCAGGGAGCAGATTTCCTGCTTATGAACTAATACATTGATTGGACCCATAACCAGGTCTGTGTCTCTCGTGCCCACCTCAAAACCACTGCATGGATCTCGCTCAGAGATGATTAGGCTTCTTCTGTGCTAGCTCTCTTTCCACCCCCATGAAAGCAAAGCAGAAGGGACAACTGTCCTATATTCTTTAGGGACTTTGAAGTATTTTCCTGTAGAGCAGATATCACGACACATAGAACCTTATTTTGTTGCTTAGTTACAAGATTTTCCAGCCTCCTAACTTTAAAAATTGCCTCAGCCAAATGAATTCACATAAGCAGAGTCCACACGTTCGTGATCAAACGCAAAATGGTCAAAAGCAAAACTGATCAAGGGGTCAAAAGCAAAAATGCAACACAATGTGGTGAAGAAGTAGTACTGGCGTAATGTACTGATGTTCTGAGTCAAGATCTGATCATGTTTCTTGATCTCTGTTTCACACTTTGTCTTTCTGTCTCTTTTTACCACTTTTTTTTATCACACACTGACATAACATATACACACACATAAGCACATGTGAATTCATACACACACACACACACACAGACTTGAAGAAGGGAAAAGCCACCTGCCAGAGAATAACAACAGACCTGTGTAGCCTAGCAACAGCTCGGAGACAGGCTTATTAGGTGGAAGAAGAGAGAAAATTGCAAGAGGGAAAACTTTGGCCTGTGTCTCTGCCTCTCACACACTTATACAAGCTGAAGGGCACACGGGCCCAAATGCGCATTTGGGCAAGCCTCATTCCCCCCAACCCTCCTCCTCTCACTTCCCTTTAAACGTGCCTTGTTTCTGACAACTCTACATTTGCAACAGACCATCGATCAGGCTACTAAACCAAACAATTTGGCCGCTCACTTCTTTTTCTCCGTCTGCCAAGAGTGGAACATTTTTAATTGTCAATTTGTTGCTCTGTTTTTTTTTTTTTTTTAATTTGGATGCTGTGGCACCCAACTGCCAGCCTAGGTATGCCAGCTCCCCAACACAGTAGAAGGAGTTTCACTTAATTGCTCTCTCTCTCTCTTAGAGGCAGTATCTAATATCTTGGATTTGATTACTGAGACAAAAGAGGTTTAAATCGATGCTAAGCTGGGAGAGTAAAACACTCAGAATTCAGAACATAGGCCTTGGGTTTACCTGAGTGGCCTCTGTGTTTTTAAAGCGAAACCCACATTGCCTATTCACAGCCTATTTCCTTCCATACTTGATAAAAAAGCTCTTAAGATTCTCCTTATCTGATCCCCCCCCCCCCCCCCCCCCCTTCAGCCAGCACCTCTGTGTGTGCGTGTGTGTGTGCGCGCGTGTGTGTGTGTGTGTGAGAGAGAGAGGGAGAGAGAAAGATAGACAGAAAGATTTTAAAATGTGTCAGTGTCTGAGATAGTTCTCATAACTTTTTCACACTCTCTATAAACATTTACTTGCATATCTGCATCAGCTATTTTGCTGCCAAAAATAAAACTTTTATAATGTCTCTCCATCACCATCATGCACTTTACAATCTCTCGCTATCTCCCTCTCTTACTCTGTTTCAGGTTTGCCTCCTTGCATCTCATTTCTCAGCTGACACCCAGAGACCCCCATATTGCCACTTCCACCCAGGGGGAATGTGCATTGCAGCTTCAGTAATTATCCTGCTGGATTGGAAGTGCTGAGGCCAAAGGGGCAAACCTCAGAGTGCAGTAAGCCTTGCTGTCACTGTCACCGCTGCACATGGTAAAAGAAAGTGCTACCCAAATTTAAATAGGTCATAGAGGGAAAGGGCAGAGCGAGGAGAGATTGAGAAAGAGGAAAAGATGGAGATGTAAAAAAATATGTTTTTCTGTTTTGACATGGAGAGAAGAAAATATTCTGCTAACTCCCCACTCAAGAGAAAACCCCAAATAAAGCTTAAGCACTAACAGCAGGAAAGTACATTGAAAGACGTGCTGTGTGTTTTTTTTTTATCCTTTCATGTATTGTTTTTTTTAGTGAGAGCATTTTTACAGAAAACACTGTCAGGGTTAAACTTCCAAAGCTCTCTCTAATAAACACATTTCAAATACTCCAAGTCTTCTTCCGTACTGCCAATGCAAACTTTGATTCATTCAGCAACCAGTTGTCTTTTCAAGGTTTTTGGATGAATAGTAAGAAAAATCTACCTACCAGGAGCTAAATAACGAACGCGTTACATCATGTTTGTTTAATCCATAGAAAAACTTTTTAATTTATTTTCCTACTTTATGACACAGGCAGGTTAGCTGTTTATCCCTGTTTCCACACTACATGCTAAATGAAGCTAACAACCTGCTGGCTCTAGCTACATGTCGAGCATACAGTCACGAGAGTGGTAGCAATCTTCTCATCTAACTCTCAGCAAGGAAACAAATAAATGTGTTCCGCAAAATGTCTGACTATTCCTTTAATGTTTGGCATTTCAATGTGTTCTGATTTTTCGAGAGATTATTGAGCCCCATACCCATTTTATATCTCACAGAAACAAGCTAGTTACACTTTTGTGCTGCTTGAGACTCACCATTGTTGAATGATGCAAACATGAAACCTTAATTGTAATAGCATACATTATCACAAATTTGCATTGCTTATACACCGCTTAGCTGTGCTTAGTCATGTACAGTAGATGGATCGGGCGGTATACTTTGCATACTTTGTAATTACATGTTTACACCTAGCTGCTACAAGGTTACACAGTTTTAAAAGACTAGGTTTTAATATGATTTCCCAGCACCACATATTAAATGTCAAGAAGTAGTCTTTGGGAATGATTGAGTACATATCAGAAAAATACAGTTATATCACTGAATAGCTCATTGTATCAGTTGCTCCCTGACATATGCACCCTGAAAACATGTCTGTAAGTCCCACTTTGCCTTGTTGATCTTATTACCCCTTATCTTATCATGTTTGTTAAGTAATCAGTACCAAGCACAAACGTAGTGTATGGACTTTTTTGTTTTAATTTAATATTTGATAATAATGAATCTTAAACCGATACACAGCTCGCACTTACCTAAATTAATGCTCCGGATGAATTATTTACTTCACTTAAGAAAAAAGAAAAAAACTGCAGTCATAAGAGGTTGTTGTTACTTTGTCAGTCAACATCGCGCTGGGTAACTGACAGAATCGTTTTCAAGGCTGGCCGACATCCATTACATTTGCAGGTCTTTCATACACACAGTCTGGCTTAATGATAGAGGACAGGACACACTCGCCTAAATCAATTGTTGGGGGCATAAACAGGCAGAATCTCATGCCACTCCAACCACTTGTTTATGAGATATATTGGTCACAGACAAACTAAAAAATATATGCACAGACAGCAGTTGTAATTGCCTCCTTGGAAGCAACGAAGACGTGGAAAAAGCTAGAAATGTACTTGGTCAATATACTGCAAATGTACTGTACATATGTGCCAGCTGATATAGCAAAAACATTTTACTATAGATAAATTAATAAAAGTGTGATAAGTCTTTTCCTGTGGTGCTCCAATGGTTCAGTTACAGAAAAAAATGGAAAGGGAGAGCTGTGTAGCGACAGCAGCTTTGTTGGACTGACAGCTGGGTCTGACAGATATTCAAGTGAGCCTATGATCAGTTGTGAATGGTGTGTAACTAAGCAATAATACAGTTCCACAGGGCCCCACGCCCCCCCAACCTCCCTCGTTTCCTATGTTAGGAACTGAACTCTGAGGGCCGTATGCATATAATCCACAAACCATTACACCTTGGATAGATTTAGCTATTTTAACTACTCAGTTGTAGGCGTGATCAAATTAAATATATGCATTGAATATATAAGGTGTAACAATCCAATGTAACATTAAAAAATCATGCAAAATTGCAGCGTGGTACTGAACACATCAGGTATTTGTATAATCAGTTTAAATCTCAATAATATATTCACCTGATGGGTGGGAGGGTAACCAGGTCTAACAAGCAGGTTTGGGTTGCAGGGTTGAGGGTGATGGCACACAGCAGTCACCATCACACTGGCTGCCTGGTGGGAATGAGTCACTTTTTTGGCAATGTTCTGAGCAGCAGAATTGCCGGCTGTGAAAGTATAGAAGAAGTAAAGCTGTGAGAAACAAATATGGAAGCAATTATTTTTGTACCTGCCTTAATACACTCCTTTACACTAGTTATATTAGTTAAAAACCTGATGGGTCTTTATTTTAAAAGAAAATAGTTGGCCATTGAGGATCAGTAGTTGTCAGATTTTAACTTTAACCCTTGGGATTTCCAAGCCGACTGACTGGATCAATAAATGTAGGAGATGGTATACTCAGATTTGCTCATTTGAAAACACAGTTTCACCTCCTGACTGTACACGTACACGTCTAAACTAATTTACAATCTCTGTGATGTCAAGCCAAATTTGATGACTGACGAGGTTTGAAAGCAAAGTCTGAACATTCTCCACTCACACATAATATTGGAACTGCTCAGTAAAGCCATGTTTGACTTGCAACATCTCATTTGAGATGGAGAGCAGGAGGATTTATGGAAGACATCACGTGATAATATACAGTATAACCTCTTCTACACATTTCTGTTAGACCTCTGCTTTAAAACGGACTAGATTACCTGCCTGTGTTGTTTAAATGTCACTTTATTATTTATATCATTATCGGACCTCGTCAAACTGTGCCAGAGATCTGTCAGTGTTCAGTGTTGAATTTGATAAAAGGCACCGATTAATTAATGTCACAGTAACAATACCACCAGTGTGAGATAGAGACCACAATCATTTCAAACGCAGCCTCATTTGCATCCCGTAAATATACAAAATATCACAATTAATTTGACAATGATATATCGATGTTTAAAAATACTACACACAGAGCCTTTTGAGCGCGGGGCATAAAGGGGAGGATGGCATGCTGTAGCCACCAGCTTAGTTAGTGTTGCAAAATAAATGTCCTCATCAAGTGATGATCATGATGAATTCTTTATGTGGCCCACGATGAACCATAATACCTATCCCCATGCACACACAACTCTCAACACACACACACACACACACACACACACACACACCGCACATTAGATAAAGATGCCAAGGTATAAACTTACCTTTGGCTTTGTTAATGGTAACTATCTGCTGAAAGGTACAAGGTCTGGCTTTCTCCTGAGGGGCAGCTGCTTGCTTCATGCCTGCCTTGGCAGCGCTAGCCCAGGACCTGGCATTAACATCCACGCCATCTGTACCTGCAACTGCAAAATGCACAGCAAGGGGGCAAGGATTAGAACTACCCATTTCACATGCACAACGTCTTGTCTGGCCTGTGTGTTAAGTGTGTGTTGTAGAGGGGAGGCTTTATAGAACTGTGTTATTTTTTGCTGTAAAGGAATTTTTTTTGCAGACCCCCACCCCCCAAGGTAATCCACAAAGTGCTATTGAATCAACAGAGCTATGCTATCAGAGGGTAAATTCTATCATATCAGCACTGACTGCAAACTGCTGAGGAGTGTCAGCAGTATGTATCACATATGCATTTATTGAGCAGAGCAGAGCTGCCTTCAGCTACAGTGGTGCACCAGAGGAATACAAACAGAACTACATATAACTGAATCATATAGCAAAGGTATGACCCCACTGCAAGGTGTGTAGGAGGTACTGTATACACTGTACAGGCCATACTCCCTTCCAAAGTTAACAGTATACTTGAGTTGTTGTTGACTTAATTCATATCTGTGTCCACTGTTCTGCACCAACAGCCAGTATGGAAGGCTCACCATGTAATTCACTTTGCCACAGCACAATAAACATTTTCCCACTGAGTCATCCGACTGAGGAAGTACTTCTCTGCCACGCCAATGCAGAGTCACAGTGTGTTCACACCTACACAGAGAGACGCAATGTGTGTGTTTGTATTTGGGTGGGCGGGTGCTCTTGTTGGGGATTACAAGTGGCACGGAGCACTGCCCCCTGATTGGTAAGTTCCGATTTGGCTGATTTTCTACCCACACAATTTTGGATCTAGAAGTCGGTCTCAAGTTCAGAAAAGTAAACAAAGAAGTGGAGCTAAGCCGTCTGCTAAGTGGCAGAAACAAAAGGGGTTCACTAAAGGTTTTTTGTGTAAAAGGGTAAAACTTTGTGAGCCTGACAACATTTACACTGAGCAACTTCCGAGCGACAGATTTTATGCCTGGGACATTTGCTGCCGCCTCACTCCTGGCTTTAATTAGCCGAGTATGACGGTGTTTTTAATATCAATATTAGATTCTCAGAGGGATGCTTGTGTGAGTTTGTGCATTTGTTGCTCCAGAGGGTATTAAAAATGATATGAAATCATATTAATGATAACCAGATTATTTATATCAAAGAAGGAGAGGCATACAAACAGCACAGGCAAAGACACACGCCAGATTTATTACCTCCAGGAGGCGGCTGTTCTTTGGCCTTCAGTTCCTCACAGCTGATGGTGGGAGAGTTGCCTTGGATGGCCGGGCCAAATGTTTGAAGGTCCAGCACAGATTTCTGATCTCCTGCGCAGATGGAGGAGACCGTGAGGGACACATTTTCCATCCTCCTCTGATGGGAAGTCCCACTCTTTTTGCGGTGGTTTGGTGAATGGATAATCCCTCTTTTCCCCTCTGTTTTTTTGGTCTTGGGATTACAATCACGCAACACACCCAGTGCTAAAGGTTTCTTTGGGGGCTGGAGAGCAGGGAAGTCAGCCAGTAGGTCATAAGCCTCCTGTTGCTCTGGGTCTGCTAGTGGTGCGTTGGTTTTCGAGTTTGCCTGAGGTGCTTCTGCTTTGCCTTGGACAGGAGCCTGCGCAGGGGCGGTCACGCCACCTGCCAAAGTGGCAATGGGGATGTCATGTGGGCGTAATGAAAGGGGAAGATCCCACTGGCCATGCATCTTCCCCGAGGCTGGAGGCTCCATGGAACATGGTAGAATGCCAGCTTTTATGGTACATAGTGGAGGAAAGTCCTTCTCTGTGCTGGAAGATGGGGAATCCTGCTTGCAGTTAGAGCTTAATTCATCAGATGAGTGTGGAATTTCATTTTCCTCTTCCTTGCAGTCGTTGTCATTCGCTGAGTCATCATCGCTGCTATCAGTGGCGCGACTTCGCACACCAGGCAGCGTTACAACATCATCATCATCACTAGAATTTCTGTCAGGACTGCTTCTTATATTCTGCTCATCCTCACTTTCACATGTTTCCCTAGGTAGCTCAGAAGGAAGAGGAGGATCTTCCTCATCCTGCAGATGTGGGGTGCTGTCTTCAGTGGCAGAGCAGATGCGTTCGGGTTCAACACTCTGTTGTTTATCTCCTTCATCTTTCTCCTGAGGCAGTTAACAACAGAAAATGTTGCTATCAGTTAATTTGCAGGTCATTTTGGATTTAAGAGCAATGGCTAGCTAGACTACAGTAAACCTACACAGAAAACAACTTTAGACTCCAAAGTCATCATGCTGACCAAATTTCTTTTCCTCTTTGCCTCCTCCTCATTTTCTTTCATCTTTCCTTCCATCGCAGGGCTCGGTACCCGTGCAGGCCTGGCAAAATGGGGATGTCTGCGGCCCGAGAGATAAGGGCAAGGAAGGGTGAAGTTAGGGTGGTATTGCTGCTTGGCCTCCTCATACTGTGTGCTCGGGCCCGAATCGTCATCTTTCTGCCACTGACCATCCCTACACAGGAAGAGAGACATAGGCATGTGTGGGAGTGCGGCAGGGTTAACACACCTTTTATTCGTAACAGACCATCAAAATTGCTACGACTTCAAGGTTAACGTCCTCATGCAGTCTTGTATGCAAGGTTTATTTCATAAAGAAAATGTCTGATAGCTGTGTCACATCTCCAGTACAGTTTTAGATATTTTAGAAGCAGGTGACATTTATTTTAGAATCTGATCTCTGCAGTGGCCATGTAGCATAAATGAAAGCTCACTTGTATCATGAACATACTTGAAACAGGTTTAATTAGAGGCACTCGAAATGATTTTCAGCTTTTTTGCATGCTATTTTAAGATGCAATTGTACAGTTCTTGCTAAAACTTAATCATTTGTTGGTAGTGCATAATATTCTAACCTAACTAGCTGCCTTTGGACAACATATACCTATAGGTTAACCAGTTCATTCTGCATACTGTGAGTCACCATCATTTCATTAGCACATTTGACTGGACTTTCAGTTGAACCCAACATTTTGCCTCAAAGAGTGAATCGTTGGGTCCGTGGATCCATCCCCTATGTGTGGTGCAGCACCCACTTCAAGACATGACTTTTTAATGAGGCTACTCTTTAGTCACCAGCCTGTCGACTGTCGAGCCGCGATGCGGAACAGACGGTCCGGTGAGACCCGGGACGCTTATGATAACGGAGATGTCATGGAAGCTCCGGGCGGCCGGTGAGCAGATGGTGTACATTAACATTATAGAGTGGGTGTGTGTGTGATCGTACAGCAGCACCACCTGATCACTGCAATGTTGATACCTGGGTTATAAATGGGCTTTAAGTTCTCATCCATCTGTCCATCACTTCATCCATCCATTTTACATAGGCCTATCCAAGTTAGGCAAATGTCACGAATCTTAAAATGACACTGTAGGTGTGGCTAAAAACAAAACAGCTTGTATAGAAGCTACAGGTCAAAAACTTCTGGATGTGTATGATTGTGTTTTTGAGGTTGTGGCTCCTAAACTGTAGGAACTCACTCCCTTTAGACTTAAGATCTGTTGACACTGTGGACACCTTTAAAAAGCAGCTCACTCTAACCCACCTGTTTAACGTTAGACGTTTCTGTTTATTTCTGGGGGGTTTTATGCTGTACATCTGTTGGTTGCCTTGCTTCTTTTGTGAAACACTTCTGTGCCCTTGAAAGGTGCTATACATAATGTCACTTACTGAAGTTAATACTTAGCCTACTATACATGCAGACATGATCAATTATTTGAAAGTGAAAAAACTAACATTTACAACTGCATTCCTGCAAAATACAGAGGGTAAACTCCAGCCAAATGGATACCCACAACTTCTTCCTATTAATGGCTTCCTGAACCATAAAGCATTAGTAAATACTTTTTAAACATTAATAAATCTATGTTTTACTACTTAATATCTCTTAGTTAAGAGGCATCCGCAATCATTGGAATCTTTCAATTTGTCCTAATCTAAACAGACATACTGTATTCCAGGAATAATGTAGCCTATAAAAAACCTACCATAACGCAAGGTTGACTATGAAGTTACTTTTGTAGAACCATTTTGGGACACATTCATTGACACATGACATCATTTGCTCTGTGTGTGTGTGTGTGTGTGTATTATAATAGACTTTATGTATACCCAACTCAGCCTTACCGGTTAATTGGCTTGTTGTCTGGAGCCGTGCAGTCTCTATTCTGCTGCCTCTCAGGTAAACTTCGACTTCTGCCAAGCTCCTCCTTCGCCTCCTTTGCCCTTCTCCAGATGTTTTTGCAAACACGATCAAAATTGTCATTCGGCACCTGTGGATGAATCCAGGTGGAGCGCGGAAAAGGCGCAAACGCACACGCGAACTGTTTTTGAGTTAACTGATGAATCCAGGGATCTCCTGGTAGCATCATTTTCTCTCTGTTGCTCACAAGCAAGTCGCCAGACTCGTTACAACGTTAGTTTATTTTGAACCATATCCTTTGAAAGAATGCAATACCCGGCGCGTCCCTGGCAGGCTGCCATAGCAACCTGTTTAAATTAGAGAGTGATGATTCAACGAGTGTCTCAAACATTTTTAATACCTCAACCTATTTCACGTGATGGTTTAATAGCAAGAAAAAGTTGGACGAGTTGTTACACATAACACAATATAGGCTATATAATTTATAATTTATTTATCTCTCATTATATCTGTCTGTGTAGTCCTGCATGTTTAGCCTATTACATGCAAACGTGCTGGACAGTAGTCTTCATATAGACTACTGTATGCACACAAACTCAAAACTTACTGTACTTTAGAATTTACCACTGTAAATTGTAACGTTAATTTGAATTTACCATGTGTTATAAAGGCATTCACCAGAGGACAGTGGAATCTATTTCCTGAGAAAAGGTGCAACGGTAGGCCAAGTCACAGAACAATCTGATCAGGAGGGGTAGGAGCAGCCCAGTGTTGGCAAAGTTTAATTTAATGTTGCGGGAAGACTATTTATGATCTCTATCATATATGTGTGGGGTTGAAGGCCAACGCGCATTCCATCAGCCCGACTGTTTCAACGCACGGCGCATTGCGGAAAACTAATTATACCGGTCATATGCAACAGTGGAAATGACATTCAAATTTACTGGCGAGGGTTCCAGCCTGTTAAGCATCAATTTCACGTTTAGTGAGCAGGAAGTGGACATCTATGTTAAACTACCGGCCAACCCGATGATTGGTCTTAATGGATGGAGACAATGGCCTCGTTGTGGACCCCTAAATCTTAACAAATTGGAACAAGATGGATTTGATCCTTCATATATTATTATTATTATTATTTATTATTATTATTATTATTATTATTATTATTATTATTATTATCAATCCAATAATACTATTATTAGTATAGAGGATTATTTACTTTACTAATTTAGCCTACCCAATGAGTTTACCTTAATCACTTGTGAATGGAGTAAGTTAAACCGCTTTTGAAAATGTAGGCATGTGATATCACTGGAGAGGGTACTGCGAGTGAGAGATAGAGGGAGGGTGAGAGGAAGAGGGAGAGAGAGAGAGAGAGAGAGAGAGAGAGAGAGAGAGAGACGCGCAGAAAGGAGCAGGTCTGCAGTCTGATTCTTGGCGTCGCACAGACCCGAGACGACGCTGTGGGCAAGTGCTGTGATACTGGGAATACACACGTCTTGCATATTTCTCTCTATACAGTAAGATCACTGACTGCACTCAAGCGTTGGCTGACAACTTCTAAAACGAGGCGGTTTTCTTGGATCCAGATCACCTTTGTGGCTCTCCATCATTCGTCGTTCGTTCAGCCGAATCTCGGTCCAACGAGTTTAAACGTGGATTATCGGCACCGCAAATGTTGTCCTTAAATGGAGATAAATGAAAGAGAATGACAAATAAGTGCTGCGGGACACACTGAAGGAGGGATCTCCTGCTTTTTTGATGTGTGTCTGGTAATATCAATTACATGTGTGGAGCGGACGAGGGATTTTCGTGATTTCGTACGCGTGCGGGGTAGATCAGTGACCACTTGAATCACGTCTCCCCTTTGGTTTGCCTTCCCTCCTTTTCTTCTGCTTTAGGTGTGAAATCTATCTTCTCAGACAGAGACTCTGAACCCCTCGGTGCCCGAATGACATGGTTCAGTCCAGCTGCGAGATCCGAGGCTCCTCCATGCATTGGGATTTTTCTCAGCGCCGACACCAAGTGAATCTCCCTTTTTTGACCATCTGAGAACTATCGTGCCTGCAAGACCAGAGGGGAAAAAAGCCCTGCCATGACCGCCAATTCAAACCGGAACGGAGCAACGGGACTTGCGAGGAGACCGGAATGCGCATGCAGAAAGGGGGACGGAATACGGATTTTTGCTCTAATGAAGGCGGGAGTGCAGGCGCACCATTGGAGCCGGGTGCTGTTCTTATACATGGGGCTACTGGCCGCCTCAGTAAAGGGTAAGTCCCCATCTCGACAGCTGAATACATGCAAAATGCAGCAGGCTTACCCCACTCCACCGCCCAGCCTCCCCGATCCCAGACTGAATGCAAATCAGCATCAGCAACACACATACGCATCTTCCTAAAGGCGCATTTAAGATCAACCTTGCTGTGATGTCGCTGTTCTAGCACCCAAAGTTATTAATAGAGGAGAGGTGGCTGGTTGAGTGGCTATTTTGGTGACAGCGGATCCTCAGCAATTGCAACTGAGCTTGTGTCTACCCCTGACTCTCTTCATTCCGATTCAGTTCACTTTATTTCATTAAAGGACTGTGTTGGGTGCTTTTTTGTTTTGTTTTGTTTTGTTTTGAGGGGTTGGGTGAATTAATTGAGCTGTGGGAGTATTTAAATAAGCAGATTGTGTGGATGGAGTTTTTTCAGGTAAAGAGAAACGTCAGGCATGAGGAAACCAGTTGAGGTAGTCAAGCAGGCTATGATGCTCTTCAGTTCAGAGTCCAAAGGCTGTGTGTGTGTGTGTGTGTGTGTGTGTGTGTGTGTGTGTGTGTGTGTGTGTGTGTGTGTGTGTGTAGATGGGGGTGTTCTTTCTGATTCAGTTTCCCAGCTCAGACCCCATAAGATTATCCAGTCGCTCAAGTAAACACCAACAACAGTGAACAACATTTTTTTGTACCGTTTCTCTCTCTCCTATTCTTTCTTTCTCTTCCTCTCTCTTTCTCTCTCTTTGTGTGTGTTGGCCGCGCGCGTGCATGCGTGTGTGTGGTGGTGGTGGTGGGAGGGGGGTAGGCCTAATTAACTGGCTGGGCTTTCTTTCCTTGATTAATTGCAAATGGAAATCTCGTAAACGGAGCTGGCCATTCAACAGATTATCATTACTAATAATTTACCTTAGTAACGTCTTCGCAACCTAACGTGTTTCTGAAAGGAGAGACTCAGTTACTGGCCCCCTGCTTTTTTTTGTCTTTCCTTAGCAGTGGACGCTTGTGGCATCATTTAGAGCCCAGGTTTTAAGGGAAAGAGCCGCAATGGGTTTTGCCATCCCGAGCAGGTCCTTTGGCAAAGAACACCAACCGTTTTATCACTGTCTTGGCTCCGCACCACAGAATGGACACTATTTTTAGCAAAAGCCAAGAATACTGCCACGACCACAATATGAATTTGACAGTGAGTCATGGCTCTGTGTTCGCCCACTCATGCCTTTGGTTGGACAGCATATAATCCACGAGTGAGTAAAAAGCGGCACATTTTCAGCATCACCAAAGCACAGCAGGGCCGTGTCATCCCATACTGTAGAAGTGTGGTTCGAGCTGGAGCATCACTATTTTTACAGGAACGTCACCGCTCCTGTTTTCCCACCACACAACCCCAGCTCGTCACGCACTTTTGATCAAACATGTGTCATCAACCACGCATATGGTTTCGGCGAGATGTCGGTTTTTCACAGCTCAGTCCCAAATGATACTGACAAATCTCTCTTGACTTTCCTGTGGAGTAAATCTCATTGCGGCTATATTCGTTGGAGGCTTCTTGTTTTATTTGCGTCCAGGGAGCTTTTTATTGCCCACTCTCTTACCGTTTGAGTCTACTTTTGGAGCCAATAAAGAGACTCTAACTTATTGCACACATTGACGAAGAGCAGGGAATGGTAGACTATCTATCTAGCCCCCCCCCCCCCTGTTACAACGTTTATTTTAAACGGTGACAATAAATATGTTTGTATATCACACCCCGGCGTCTAGGTGGTCTGGCGCGTCCCTCGGCGCTGCAGCCACCAGCAATTGCCCCATCCTCCCATTGAGCGGCACCAGAGCCTCACACTATGCTGAGAGGCGGAGCGGAGAGGGGAGAGTAGACCTGGGGTTCATGCCATATCTCTGCCCACATACTTTATCAAACCAAGGCAAGACTTGCCAATTAATGGTCAACAGTGGCTGATTCAGGCGTGATATTGCACGTTGGCCAAATGAAAAGGCTCATTTCCAGGAAATGCTTAATAAGCATTATAGATATGTAGGTGTATGATAGTGCTATAATACTGGCCTCATTTAACCACTAGTCTCACTTTAAACCGTTTACAGCCTCCCTTTCAACCCTATTATCGTTCCCAAGGGCCACGCAGAGAAAGAATGACAGAGGCGTGTGAAAGAGAGAGCTGTGCGCTGTCTCCCTGAGATCAAAAACCAGCGGCCCCAGCGGACTCGTTGCTCAATAAACTGTAATCAACCTCTTTCATTTAAACGTACAGAGAGAGAATGCAAAGGCCGGGAAGCGGAGGAAAGAGAAGGGACTGTGGAGGAGGCAGATTGAGGATGACGTGTCTTGTATATCTGGTGCGTGTTTCGGCTCTCCACTCCAACTCGACCGGTGTTAGATCATCCGTCAGCGGCGCATGAGACAGTCGCTCAGCATGTCCATTTACACGCAAGATCACGCTTTGTCGTCTTCTCTCCTCTCAAACGCGCTCTCCTTTCTATAAAGGCACGCGTTGTGCTCATGATGCAACTTGCAGTAATGTTATGAGGACTGGAGGGCTTGATGCCCTTTTCCGTTTTATCTTTTCTACTTCATGACATTTGCTTGTATTTGCACAGCCATGAGGCTCATGAAGTGAAAGCGAAAGTGCGCGCGTGTGTGTGCGTGTGTATTTCCAAGCAATAACGCTGGGAGAAAAAAACTTTGGTATGTTTTGAAGTTCCACAAATCAAAAAGTGACAAACTCAAACGTTAACATTTTCATTTTAAAAGCCTTCAAGGCTTCACACAAAAAGGCCGCGGACCTCTAATTGATGCAATTTCGGTTGGGAACACCTATTTGGGAACACTGCTGTTGATGATTTAGTAAGGCATTATGTGATGTATTCACTGTGGGGAGATTCAGTGAGTGTGTGTTTGACCCATGTACACTGTATGGTGACATTTTCAGCACCCTGGACAGCTAAGGGCAGCTGAACTTGCTGCTCAGCTGGTTCTCTTCAGCACCATGGACAGCTCACCCAGCCAACAGCCTCAGCAACAGCTGCTCCTCTGTGGAGGGCTAGCTGGCTCTATAAGTTGGGATTTCTCCAATGTTTTCAAGGCTTTGAACCCTCAATTAGACACAGACTTCAGACCCCTATTTGACCAGATGATATTGCAAGGTGTTGGTTATATACTGATTTAGTATCTGCTCTATCTTTCAGGCATTCTTCAATACAAATAAAAGTCAAACTGTTAGGCCTACATTGTCTCAATTACATACAGGTGCATCTCATAAAATTAGAATATCGTTAGAATGCCGCACTGATTCAGTAATTTGTGCCAAAGGAGCCCCGACCAAGTGCTGAGTGCATAAATTAACCTTTTTCAGAACTGTTTTTCAGAAGGTTGACATTTCTGTATTATACAGTCTTGATTCTAATATTGTAATATTTTGAGATATTTTTGGAATATTTCACTTTATGTGTAATGAATCTAGAATATGTGAAAGTTTCACTTTTTGAATAAAATTATAGAAATAAATAAACTTTTTCACAATATCCTAATTTCATGAGATGCACCTGTAATATGTACAGCTAAACTGATTAGTCTACTGACAGAAAAAATCCTTTTTTAAGGCAAAAATGCCAATACAAAATATGACAAGCCTATCAAATGTGAGGATTTGTTTCTCTTAGTTTCATGTGATATTAGGTTCAATAACGTTTGCCTGCAATTTGAAGATGTCAACTTGCGCTTTAGGAAACTGTGATGGACATTTTAAACTAGTTTGTCATTTTATTGGCCAAATGATTAATTAAGAAAATAATGAGCATATTGGTTGATAATAAAACTAACTGTCAGTTGCAGCCCTAGTATGCAGTTTATTATAGTGACATTCCTTGTTTTTGCTGGGAACTGCTTAGGATTGTCACTCAAAGATCCTTGTGGATCCCACAACTGAATTTATTTCATAAATGTTAGTTAAGATATGTGGAGGCTTAACTAGAGTTAGTTCAGTTGTCTTGTGATACCATGGACAAAAAAGCTCTATTGACTTCCTGTAAGTCCTATAAACTTAGCCCCAGTCCCACATGTCTTATGTTTCACATATGCGTTTTCATGACAAATACATGGGGATCTCACTTCCCTTTTGTTTCTTACCTCTCCACCTGTCTGCCTGCTACTCTCAATCTCTAATCCTCCAATACCTCCACGCTCTGTTGCTTCCTATCTCCCATCTGCTCTCTACATTCACCGTTGAGCAATAAAGGATGGAATGGGAGCTGAGAAACAGATGACATTATCTATTTACTCAAAGCAGAGAAACGTCTGGAATGCAAAGCAGACTCCCATTGCCGTGTTGTTGCCTTTCCTACTTGAGTGAAGAATAAGGAGCAGTGGAGTGGGGAAGAGAGTTCTGGTCAAGATAAAGATGGAGATCATGAAGTGGTGGCAGAGGGAGGGAAGAAAACAGCAGGACAGAATCTACTGCGATGGGAAATAAGAGGCAGAGAGGGTAGACGACTGTTGGAGTATAAAAGGGTGATAAGCTTACACCAGCTGAGAGATAATTTGGGCCCTATGTTTCTGTGCCTTTTGAGTGCCGGGTGATTTTCCTCTCTTTAGTAAATTATCTATTTGGAGGGCTCATTTTCTTATCAGGCATCAAGCAGGCTGCTATTTCAACAACTAACAGCGTGTAAGTAAGCTTGTGGGCACGTGTGCGTGTGTGTGTTTGGTCGAGTCTGTGAGTTGCCACCCCCATTCACCAGGGTGATTAGACTGAAGTGTTGACAAGCAGGTCATTAGCTAGCTCAAAAAAGGGCCACTGAGAGATAGGATGTGTATGTTTGTGTGTGTGGGGGCAGGTATTACTAATAGTGTGGAGACATTGTGAGGACTCGCCTTCCTTATAGACAAAATGCATGTTCCCATAACGTAAATCATTAAATTTTAGGCTGACTGCTTGGTTTAAGGTTAGGACAAGGCTCTTTCAGACTATGGTAAGTCTCCAGGGAATGAATGTAAGTCAATGTAATGTC